CAATTTTAAAACATTTTTTCAAAAATATGTTTTACTGATTTATGCCTCCTAAATTCTAGAAATGTCAGGTGGTGCATTTTGTCATAAAATTCTAAAGGAAATAGTTTAGCTTGATTTAATGTTTGAAACCTTTAAATCATCACATAATGAAATGTAGGACAGTTTTAAAAGTATTTAACTCATTGAAAAATTTTCTGATTTCTTAAATGTCATGCGGCACAGCCGACAGCAAAAGAGTGGGCAAGGCATTGCAACATAAAGATGACTCCAAGTGATCTTCTTCGTACAATGCCAAGGTAAATAGCTCTTTTGCCAATGTAGAAAAAGTAGACATTTGTAAATCATGGATATACTGATTCGGTTTACTAAGTCAGGTGGTGTGGCCTATTATTTTAATAATGTTTATATATTTGGGAAACAAAATGAATGTTTTACCTTGATTTCATGGACAAAGGTTTACTACTAAGACTAGTTTATACATGTTTTCAGTAGTCATAAGTAATTAAAAAAATATAATTGTTATTTATTTTTATTACACCTGACATTTTCTGGCTGGTAAAATTGATGATTCTGTTTAAAAATCAATTTATACGCCTATAAACACAGAAATCAATACATTAAATAGATTTTTGCAGATACAAAGATTCATATCCTTTTTGGAACAAGGCTTTTTAAATTTTAAAAGCCTTATTTGTCGTTGATCCTTTTGTAGATTAGAGAAGGTCATACAGTGTCAGAAGTCACATAAACAAGTCTGTTCGCTATTGCTTGACTTAACGCAGGTTGAGGCAAGTGTGATGATGCTTAAGGCATGCGATTTGCACACTGCTAATTGGTAGACTTAAGTATGGATTGCTTGTTAGCTGCATTAGCCCCAGTGCAACATTAAAGAAGCAGCCAAACGTGTCTTGGCTGATCAGCTACGTTTGGGATAAGATAGAAAATAGTGTAAATTCTCTAAACTTCCTTTAAGCTTATGACAGCTCTGAATTTCAGTGTTGTGAATACTCCCCTTGCGTGGACATGACAGGATAAACCCTCTCAGTGGAGCCAGCGGTGAATGATCTGTGCGAGAGCGTGGGAGGGGAGCCTAAAATAACAGGATTTGTTCAGACTGTCAATTTCCAGAGAACTTGCATGCTGAAAGAAAATAATAATTATCAGACAGCATTACCACATTCCTTTCACAGCATTCCCTCCCCAGTAAAGTCTAACTTAACCTGAAGCAGGTCTTGTGGACTTTTTTGATTTAATTAAATCACTGGCCCATGTGACCTCTTTTAGCATTTGTGACCAAATGTTATGGTAGCAGACTATTTTTACATCTTAATGCTGTAATGGTTGCGCAGTCAGTTGCCAAACCCAATGATTTAAGGGTAAGAGCAATAGCGTATAAAAACAAAAACATCTCATGTGTCTCTGAATTTCGTAACCAGTGTCTCCAGCCTGGCACAGACTCATGTTCGGAGGAACAGTTTTTCCTGATCAGAATAGCGCAAGTCCGCTAGTTTCACCAAAACATTTCCTGGTTATGTATGCAGGTTTATTATGATAACTGTTCTCTTGACAGTTTGTCAGCTTGTCTGCACATGTTGGCCTTGATAAGTGAATCTAAGTTAACTTGTTTAAGCTAACCCTCTTTACAGTAGCCTTACAATGTAGTTGCCATCAATTTTGGTGGTCCCTTAATTTTTTCACTGTGCATTTTTTTTCAGCTAAATTTATGGAGTATATTTAATTGGAAATGTGTATGATTTTTGTCACTTGTGCTGTCCATTTTGTCTTGGCACAGCCGTCTTTGTGGAGATGTGTGAATTGTTTTCACAGCAGGGAGTTCTCACCCCTTCCCTTTCATCCTCATTGCTCACTAGTGCCTGAACACAGAGTCACATTACGCACACAGAGAGCCAACAGTTAATCTGAAAACAGACTTCCAGGGAAAAATATTTTATAGATTATATTAATTAAAATACCCCAACCAATTTCCATCTTCATAATCTTTCATCTGGGCAAACTTCTCTCTCTCGAAGTCCACCAATCCATGAATGAATTCAGGTGATAGCATAGCAAAGGCAAGCAAGGAATTAGAAGAGTTACACTCACAGTTAGCCATGTGTTTCTCTTGAACCTCTCTGAACTGAAGGAGCAGTTTTTGTCCTTTCCAGACCGAACAATGTTGAAATCCGCTGGCTGGTCTGGTCCCAAACGTTTAATCCCTAGTTTCTGCTCTAATGGCTGGTACCCAATTTAACTTTTATTAATTAAACATTTTGTGACTTGACTCATTATATTGCCTTGCTATTAGGAGCAGCTGCCACATCTGATGAGGAACAATTACTAGCTGTGTAGCAACACCCATACCGTAAACAACGCTTACTAAACATCTGGACGTATTTACATCTATTGTTTGTTTGTTTGTTTTTTTTTGCCGCACTCAGCATGGGGCCAACATGATCGTGCCTCACAGCGGGTTATTGAAAGCACATTGAACATGCGCAGTGATTTTTAACTCCTCACTTGGTTAGACGAGCGCTGATGGGCCGGCCCCACGCGCACTAAACCAAGACTGCTAGGAGAAACAAGTAGCCTACTGGCATTTTGTACAACAGGTACAGGAAGATATTTGGACTGTATCCGACACCATTACCACAACAACGTTAGTTACGAAGAAAAATATATATGTTAGTTGTTGTTCTGAATTATTGATCATGTTGTGTACTGCTCGACAGCGACTGGTGGGGCCAGGCCCCTAATGTAGAGACACCACTGTTACGAATATGTTGCTTGATGCCTGAAACATTGTTTTACCATAGTTTTGAGAAGGTTTTGCCCTGAAACTTATTTCTTTTTAATTCATTCATGGCAGAGCGGTACGTGCAGGGCGTTATGAGGCAAAAGAGTACCTAAAAAGAAACACAATTTTACCATTGTCAGCATTACATATAACACATTTACACTTTGAATTACTTTTTTTACATCCCAGCCACTTTATTATGCAGAATTCATAGAAAAATCCATGGAATTCCCCTTTCACATGCTGGATCTGGTCATATGTGGCTTGAGAAAACTCTTTACAGTGTTTTCTACATGCAGTAGATTCAGTTGTTTTATAATAACGTTGTTGGTGCTGCACTACAACAGATTTATTTTAGTTCATTTTTGATGTGGGGAGTTCTGTCAGCACTTTTGTCTTGGCACAATGGTTAGCTTAACTAGTTAGGTGGAAACCATCAGACATTTACGCTGAAGCCAGCTCCCTACACTCAGGTGCTTTCAGCAGTTAAAGAGATTTATAGTTTATAGCCCTTACTCCAAATGCAGTCGATCAGCCAAGATACATTTGGTGTCTGAAGTTTGCTTCTTTAGTTTTGGACTAGTGCCACAAGACTATAGTACTTTATAACAAGTAAGTCAAACCAGTTCGCATCATACGAACTTCATGAAGCAGCTGTTGAGTTGTTAAGTAATATCAAACCGACTTGCTTGAGTGGTTTTTATTGCTATATGAGATATTGTTATCAATATAAATGCACAAAAGTATACTGAAAAAAATGAAATAAATCTATGAACAAAAAGACCTTAAAATTCTAGGTCTGGTCAGAAGTTCTGCTAACTCGTGCTTTTTAGTGCTATATCTCAGTTAAGTAAACATTATAGAATACTTGTTTTATTTTTACACAGTTTCCCCACCAGCTGGTACTCACTCTATCGCGGAGCTGTCAGGCTTGGAGGAAAGGGTCATGTACTTGTTTCCTCCTCTCGGACTCCCAGTTCTAGATGACTGTGGCATTGCTGGCATTATTCAAACTTAACATCTGTTGATGAGCTGGTGAATACTCTGTCAGTTGTGCCACTTGGGAGTCACAGAAATTATTTAAACATCTGCTTCCTGATTAGTTATCTTACTTTAAAAAGTAAGACTTTAAATTTTAAGTTCAATAAATGTAACATAACAGAATGTAAGACAGAACTTGATGTTTTGTTAAGTTACTATTTGATGTTTAATTAATTCAGCCACAAATTAAATTACGAAACCTGGACACTTACGTTCTTCTATCTAAACATTCTATATGTTCCTAATACTGAAGCAGATTTTGTTGGACTAAAATTAACATGTTAACATTTTTAAATTTGTTTGGTTAAGTAGCAGAAAAGCTACTTTGGCCAACATATTTAAATCTACACTGTGTAAGACGTCTTTGTTATGATTGACAGAAGTAGTATTGCTGAGTCAGGAGGGAAAATAAAACTTGCTAAAATATGGTGTGTATGTGTGTGTGTGTGTGTGTGTGCTACTGAGTCACCATGTGAAACCTGAAATAATAATATAAAAGTTAGAGGTGTTGGGTCAGATTCACAGGTGTTTTTTTTGGACCATGTCATACGTCTTCATGTATTAAAGTCACACGCTCAGGCTCTAAAAGAAAGCTGACAATCAGCACATTCATCCGCTCAAGGAAGGAGTCCAAAGTGTAACCACTGTTAGAAAATGGTCTTTCGCACATTGCATTACATATTTCTACCAGAGAGGTTTCTAAAACTTACATAATGTAGCTTTTAGTTGGATTTTTTACAGAAACCAATGCCTTCCTAAGTTTTATCTTAAATGTGTTCTTGAGGAAGGTCCTAAGAAAAAGTCTATGTCAGATTCATGATGTGTTCTTAAAGCACAGAATTATTTTAACCTTTGTACTTTTAAGTGTGTGTAGATTCTGTTCTTACCTGAAAATCCCAGAAAATCTTACCTACAAATCCCAGATAAGAAAACATTGGTGAATGTCAGTCTTCATGAAAACTGCATAAGTGGGTTTTAAGGAGTTTCTTCTTGAAAATGGTTGGTGAATGAGGCCGATTGTTAAAAAACACTGGCCTGTATAGTTCATTCATATGGACAACTCTCAAAGATAATTTTCAGTAAATGTCCACTTTAATTGATTTGGTAATCACCTCACAATTTTTCAGATTGTCTGTTCTGTCCTCTTCATCCCCCTCTATCCTAGGGCAGTGGGGTCTCCCGACAGTGAGCTTCTCCTCTGTCCTTGGCATGGTGGCAGGGGTGCTGGCCTCCACCATGGAGTCCATCGGGGATTATTATGCCTGTGCAAGGCTCTCTGGTGCTCCCCCTCCACCCACACATGCCATTAATCGGGGGATCGCTGTGGAGGGTCTGGGCTGCATTTTGGCTGCTCTGTGGGGCACCGGCAACGGAACAACTTCGTACAGCCAGAACATTGCTGCCCTTGGAATCACCAGGGTAGGTGTGATGTCATTCGCTGTAAGTCACCAGTTCAGACACGTCTAGTCAAATACACATCTTGGGTTTAGTCAGATAGACAGACAAGACTGTTACTGTTGTTGTTATCTTGTTTTGCAACTTAAACATGTGGGCATTTCAGCCAATAATCGTATGCTTTTTGCTTGTTTAAGCACAGATGTAATGCTGTAAAGGCAAAATATGTATGTGTTGTAAGCATTACTGACTACTACAGCAAAGTCAAGTTCTCAGACAAGTGCATGAGAGGTGTAGTCCAGTACCCAAAGGGAAAAAAACATGGTACGCTGCTATGACAAGAGTAACCTTAAGTATGGTAGGAATTCAGATAATAGATGGTAACTTACAAAAAAGTAAAAAATGAGAAGGAAGCTGTTTCACTACTTTGAAAACCGCAGAAAAAACATTTGTCATGCACACAGTGAGCTGGAGGAGGTCAAGGCAGAGGCTTTGACTGAGGAGGCAGATTAAACCTGCACTCTGAAATAGACTTCATCATACTGAGTTATTGCGTGACCAAAACAAACCCACCTTTTCTTAAACTACCATTAGACTGCCTTTTTTCAAACTACAGCACTGGGCTAAAGTCAGAGACATGTTGCCCATATCCACTGTTAGATGAGTAATTAAAGCAACTGGAGCTATAGTGAACCTGCCTCCTGAAAGAGGATGCATGTTTATTTCACTTGCGTGCACATTGAGGATGGTTCCAAGGATTTCCAAGCATCACCGCCATGCCAACAAAGTCTTTGAAAGGCAGGCCAGAATAGAGCCTTTTCTTTCATATAGCTACAAATGCAATTGCCTGGAGTTCACAAGAAGCTACAGGAACTTTGACAGGTCAAATGAGACCAAAACCAGATATTTTTTTCCCAGCTGGACAGTGTTAGTCTATAGTCTTGATATCAGACCACAGGTCATTACAACCTATAGGCAAAAGTTGTGTTAACACGTTTACCACTGTGTTGCATTACCTCTTCTTTTAACAACACTCTGTAAGCGTTCAGGAACTGAAGAGACAATGCTGTGGTTTTGAAAGTGAAATATTTTCCCATTCTTGTTTGATATAGGATTTCAGCAGCTCAACAGTTTGGGGTCTTCATTGTTGCATTTTTCTTTTCATATTATGTCAGATGCTTTTAATGGGTGACAGGTCTGGCCAGTTTTAGCTACTCTTTTGCTATGTAGCCATACTCTTGTAATATGTGCAGAATGTAGTTTGGCATTGTTTTGCTGAAATAAACAAGGCCTTTCCTGAAAAAGACATCATCTGGATGGCAGCATAGGTCACTCCAAAACCTGTATATATTATTCAGCATTAATAGTGTTTTCAAAAACATGTAAGTCACCCTTGCCATGTGCACTAATGCACCCCTATACCCTCATGAATGCCGGCTTTTCAACTGTGCACTGTTAACAAGCCAGATGCATCCGTGATTTCCGAATTTTGATCTGTCGGACCACAGGACACTTTTCCACTTCACCTCAGTCCATCTTGAATGAGCTCGAACAGGACTAGGAAGGCGCAAAGAAGGCGGCGGCATGTCTAGATCCTGTTTTTATATGGTTTCTTCTTTGCATGGTGGAGTTTTAACTTGCGTTTGGTTTTCAGATGTGTTCCTGAGCCCGTGCAGTGATTTGCACTACAGAATCATGTCTGTTTCTAATGCAGTGCCACCTGAGGGCTCGAAGATTACAGACATCCAATATTGGTTTTCAGATTTGCCCTTTGCATGAGAGATTTCTCCAGATTCTCTGAATCTTTTAATAATATCATTAAAAGATTATCTGAACCTTATGTACCATAGATGATAAAATATTAATAAATGTAATTTTAAATTGGTGCACTATTTGATTGTGCAGTGTTTCACTGAGTAGGAAACCACTCCCCATCTTTACTTCTGAAAGATTTAGCCTCTCTGGGATGTTGTTTTTTCTGTCAGTTAATTTAGTTTGTTGTGAGATGTTCCACCAAGTGTTTTTTAGCATTACACAACTTTACCAGTCTTTTGTTGCCCTGTCCCAACTTTTTTGAATCATGTTGCTGGCATCAAATTCAAAATGGGCATATATTTTTCAAAAACAATAACATTTTTCAATTTCAACATTTGATGTGTTGTTTTTGTACTTTATTAAAATAATTATAGGGCTTAAATGATGTGCACATCATTGCATTCTGTTTTTATTTACATTTTACACAGCATCCCAGTTTTCTGTGGAAACAGGGTTGTAAAAAAGTTGGCACTATCAGGATTTAAATATGTATAATATCGGAAACCATTCATGGGTATATGTATTATTAATGAAAATTCATAGTTCTGCATGTGCATTTACTGTACTAATTCTACAAATGTCTGCACAGCCAGAGAGACAAGTTTGACCAGTAACTTTCAGTATGATTAGTGATGGCTGGCACCCCCTATGTGTGCCAGGTTGGCAGCAGGCTGGTGTTGCAGACAGCTGGCCTCCTCATGGTCTTCCTGGGACTCTTCGGGAAGTTCAGTGCCGTGTTCATCACGATCCCAGACCCGGTCATCGGAGGCATGTTCCTGGTCATGTTTGGAATGATTGCAGCTGTGGGAATATCAAACCTGCAGGTAAACGCAGCTGATTTGCAGTATTTTGGGGAGGATTTTGCCTCCCTGGTTGGTTGATGCGCGCAAGAGAATGGTTCTGTCAACAACTGAGCGTTTAGTTTGGGAAACTATATCAAAATGCAGTAGCTCTCTAGTTAGCTTAGCTATATTACATATATCTGTTGTTGCATTGGTGCACTTCAAGAGATTTAGATGTTTATTCATCCAACTTTTTATCAACAAAGAATAAAGTGAAATCAAAACAAAGGCCATAAAATATCCAATAATCGTGGTCTAATTGCTAGCTGACGTTTGAGACCATCTAAGTTCAAAATGTTCAGGCTTTAATGCGCACTGTAGAACAGGTTTTGTGAAAATAGTTATTATCAGGTAGTGTTTTTTTGTGCCTCTCGATGTTGGTGTCATCCATGCTAGAACAATAATTTGATGATATGAGACCACAAGATCAGTTGGCATGTAAAACAAGATGACCTTCTGTTTTTCGAATTGCAAAGTTAGCTTGTCATTCTAGATCTAATTCATCCACCTGGTTGAGGAAATGTCGTAATAACTGCAGTTAATGATTGAAGTTGCCTTTTGGTCATTTTATATCACTCTAAAGCATCTAATTTGGCTAATAGTTTGCTTGCTAGTTAGCTTAAGGCTGCGTTAACATAAATGCTAATAATGTTAGCATTAGCCCCCTATCTAGCCTGTGTCACTTTTGTGAACTCTTTACAAAGTAATCATTCTAAAAATTGCAATTGACAAATTCCTGAGGGAAAAAACACGGTATACTGCTGTGACAGAGGAACTTCAAGTATGGTGGGAATTTAGGATTAAGGCTGGATAATAGATTGAAACTTAGTGAAAAATGAGAAGGAAGCCGTTGTCAAAACACCTGTCAAAACATTAGTCATGCACGCAGTGAAGCCGAGGAGGGCAGGGCAGAGGCTTTTATTGAGGAGGCAGATTAAACCTGCACTCTGAAATATACTTCATCATACTAAGTTGTAGAGTGATCAAAACAAACCCACCTTTTCTCAAACTGCCATTAGACAGCCCTTTTTCAATCTACAGTACTGTGCTAAAGTCAGAGACATGTTGCCCATATCCACTGTTAGATGAGTAATTAAAACAACTGGAGCTATGGTGAACCTGCCTCCTGGAAGACGATTTGGGTATCACTGTACAATACCACAAATATGCATGTATTAATACTTAACAAATGCTTTCATCACAGTGAATTAATACCTAGACTAGTACTTAACACATCAGGAAAAAATGAAGTGTAAATGTTAATAAAGAACTGAATCAAATATGAGTAACTTTTAAAACCCTTTAAGACCCTTTGTATAATGCATAATGTCTAATAGAGTTGATGTAGGTTAACACAAATTATTTGCTAATAACCAATACAGTAATTGGCAGGAAACTCAATGGCGTCGCTGTCTTACAAAAGTTTTGTTTTTTATGATATTCTTTACATTGTCCTTTTGATGCCTTTAACATTTTGTAAACAGTTTTAATTACATTTACATGACAAGGGCTGGACTTAGTTTCACACACTCGCAATGTGATACCGATTAATTAAATCAGTAAAGATATGCCTGGAGAGAAGACAGTATGTAATGATACATTTGATAATGATACATGATACAATTCATTGCTTGACATGTCTGCACATCATTAGTCATCATATTTATATATCATGTAACTTGTCTAAATTTATCATTAATTCAATATGTTGTCCCCCCAAGTAGTCATGATGTAAATATGTATTTAAAAATGATCAGTTAATACATTCATATGTCATTAATTTACTGTGTACAAGAAGTAAATTATTTCTCAGTGAATTCACTGAAAAACACTACACAGCGTTATCAGTGAAGAGCATTTATTAAAACACACAAACAAAACGTGTCTTGCAGCATAAAATATGATGCGTTTCAGGTCAAATTAGCGCTGCTGAAACAGAAGAGAAGTTTGCTCAGCCTTATTTTTGTGGATGTGTTTAAAATGATACCAGACGTTTTTCTTCCAAATGTACGGCCTTTTTTGTTTGGTTTTAATCTAAGATGATTACGGGCGCGTATTAGCAAGATCAGGCTCAGAGACAGATGAGCTTACACTGTTTTTGTTTTTCCCCCCTTTCTGTCTTACTCAGGGACGTACAAGGCAGGAGGGTCCATAATGCTGCCGGACAAACCTAGGCTAAAATTAATCTGAGTTTTGTGAGATGAAAGGATATACAGAGTGTTTTAATTCTGTCCATCCTTAAATATTGTTCCAGTTGTCTCAGCGCACATCAGGTTCACATCACTAAGGCTACATAGCCAACAGAGTATTGTCCAGGCATAATTTCAGTCACACGCAGAGGGCTTGCGGCGCATGCGTTCTGCAACAAAGTGTTTCACATTAGCATCGGTGTTAATCCGTTAAACCTTCCAGTGTTTTTACCATTGGTTAATGTGATTTTAGCCTTTGGGAAAATTTTAGTTCAGTGATAGAAGTGATGACTGATAACAAGAGAATAACAGTAAATAAAGTTGGATGGGACTGAATTAGCATAGACACTATTTCTGGTTACAGTCTGTCCATAATTAATTAATGATATATTAATATATTAACCAGTGACTTGTTAACATATATTTACATTGTGACTTTATAATTACATAATGCTGAATGTAGATCAAATAGACTATATTAATATATTAACTAATGATATTTAAATATACTAAATAATGACTTAAAATTTAACTGTCACTGTCATGCAAAATGATTACCTCAATTATTTAATTAAATATAATAAACAAATTTTTTAATGCTGTTAGAAAAGGGTTATATGTCATATGATGTATTGATATACCTTTAGCAGATTACATTATTGGTAAGCTAATGGATATGAATGCTTTTCTAATTAAACAATATAAATATCAACCAATTAACATAATGTATCATTCATATATATTAACACAACAATTACGACAAATTATACATTCTTTAATATTCTGAGTATGTTTACTACCTTTTTTGACATTGGTTATAAGCCTATAATGTGAATGATGCATAAATATGTTATAATGCCATAAATTTGCAAATTTATCATATTTATATCTGATGCTATTTTTAATTAATGTATACACTTCATTTTTTCCTGATGTTTTAATTATTGGTCTATGCATTAATTCACTGTGATGAAATCATTAGTTAAGTATTAATAAATGGTTTTTTGTGGACCAGAACTGTAACGTGTTACTGAAATTCATAGCATTTTGTGGTCAGACATTCAGGCTTTAAGGTGCACTGTAGAACAGGTTTTGTGAAAACAGTAATTATGAGAAAGTGTTTTTTGTGCTGCCAAACGTTAATGCTGTTTATGCTAAAAGATCACATTTGCATTTTGGCAAAAGTGTGCTCACCACAAGATTGGATGGTACGTAAGACTAAATGAACTTTCATTTTCGGAGCTGCCAAGTTATTAATCAGTGGTCTGATTCTAGGTGTAGCATGATGGGTGTTTTTCCATTACACATTGAAAATATATTAGATTCAGCCAAAAGGGAGCCAACAGAACTTGTCATTCTAGGTCTGGTTCATCCACCTAGTTGAGGAAATGCCATAATAACTGCAGTTAATGATTAAAGTTGCCTTTTGGTCATTTTATATCATTCTAAAGCATCTAATTTGGCAAATATCTTGTTTGCTTGCATAAATGCTATTAATGTTAGCATTAACTTCCTACCTAGCCTATGTTACTTTTGTGAACTCTTTACAAAGTAATCGTTCAATGAATTGCTTTTGACAAATTACCATAGTTGTGTACGCTCTTGTGGTGTTACCAAACAAAGAAGAGAGCACTCTCGAGAACTGTTAGGTCCTATTTGTACTAATCTTGAGCAGGTACCAAAAACCATCCAGAGGTGGGAACAAGTCACTAAGTTGCAAGTAACAAGTAAGACTCAAGTCCCGAGTCAAGTCGCAAGTCAAGATAGTCGAGTCTTGATTAAATTCCCAAGTCAGTACAGGCAAGTCTCAAGTGGAGTCCCAAGTCAAGAGTCCTAATCTTCGAGTCCTAAACAAGTCAGTCTGCAGTCTTCAGCTAATTTAAGGCCACAACATCGAATAATGGTAACAGTACTATAACCCTTTAATGGCAGCTTGTAAGTAGTGTGTGGCTGTACATTGATGTTTCATAATTTTTTTTTACCCTTCCAACAAAATCCATGGTACACAGATAACCACTCTCTTAAAAAGGTTCTACCCTATAATAATGCAAACTGTTCCTTGAGTGTTCGTGGTTCTTTTTAGAACTTTTTTTTATTTACTGGTATACACAAAGAGTAAAAGTACTATTGAACTTAATTTAAAAACTTTATATTTGAAGATAATTTTTGATGCTTTTTGTGAACACTGGGCGCACAGGATTAAAATAAAAACCAACTCAGCACTAAAACTAGCTCAGCATTAAACTAGCTCAGCAAACTAAAAACAATGGCGTTTGAATAGAATTTAAATGAAAACAGAAACCAAAACGACCGAGCTGAACAAAGTTTACAGAAAAGACAGCAAAATAATGCTGAATGTACGAAGCTGAAGTTGACGTTTTTCGCCAGCAGCTTCTTGGTCGAATTTTTTGTTCCACCTTAAATGGTGCAGCAGTTACGTTCCCCCGCCTCACTGTTGCGCCATTGATCGGTCAATTTGAGAGAGCTGTGTTTCTTTTGTTTTGCTGTCATGAGGAAAACGGTCAGTTCGCCTGGTGAGTTTCTCTAGTAAGAGTTAAGTTCTAAGTGAGGACGTATTGACGCTGTTGATGCTTCACCTGTTTCCAGCTAATGGAGGTGAAGTTGAACTCTAAATGCTTCGCTTGTCTTCTGAAACAAAATAAACTGAGCATGTGTAGCCGTCTGCAGTCAGACTGCCTCCACGTTTCTTCTGCTTTCTAGAGTCTTTCCGAGTCTTAACGATGAAGTCCGAGTCAGAGTCATTGGTGTTCAAGTCAAAGTCGAGTCGCAAGT